GGCTATACAACCGATACCCCGCACACATTACAAAGAGGTCGGTAAAGCGAAAGTTCATTAGATCACAATCCAATCATTACTTGCAAGTGAGACGCCTCTAATTGTAATGTTCGATATGGAAGCATACTCTGTTTTATCCCATGTGGCGACGAGTGGCTTCTCGGTAGTAAGTATATGGCCCCGTACGCCGTACAAAACTGACGCATTGGCATACGTATAGGGTTAATTTAGTTATACTTCATATAGACAAAACAGCCTATCGTGCGCAATATAGGACACTGCCACATATTACATATAACGCTAATCCAGCTATCTCAGGATTGCGACTGCTGCGAATCATCGCCTACGGTGCCAATTCGGCTAACCTCCAAAAAGACGACGGGAAACCCAAAACATAGAGAAGAAATGTTCTTTTTCTTTTACGCCGTACATCACGACTAAAGGTCACGCACACTCCTCCCGGAGCAGCTTCATTTGCCACATAAATTGCTGAACGCCACATGCTCGGTGATATAAAGGACTCCAGGCAGGTCAGTCCTTCAAATATATGATATCATTCAGGAACGAAATGATGCATGTCCTCTAAAATCAAGCACGTAAGGTTCTATGTGTTTATACGCATTAATAATGCATATATACATCGTTTAAAGATATGAACAGACACCCGGGCACATATGCATTTAACCATGATCAATGCAACTCACCTTTTTGATTGGTACTGGTGGCCGCGTCATGTTATATAGCACCGTCTTCAGATTCGAAGCGGTCTCGGGGACTTTCACTGAGAAAGGAATTAGCCTTGGCGAAGCATGTGTGTGCTTTGCGATATCATTTTCTAGGATGTATATTGTCTTTGCAATGTTTTTCGGGGGACATAGATCCGCTTTAGTCATAACTATAGTGTATGGAATTGTCTGCAAGTCGAGGAAGTTCATAAACTCGGTGTCCGTGGATTTCACACCTGTTTCGCAATAAAAGTAGAGGAAACAGTGGTCGTTTTGATTTAGATACTATAACGCCTTAGAATATCGGGATCGATGGTTTTGTACCGAATCCAACTGAGATACAAACTTAGAAAAAAAGAGTGAAGATGGAAAAGATGGTCAATTTACGGGACAAACTGCAAAACAAGTACTTAAAATTCAATATATCCAAACTAGTAGATCAAATACACATAGATATTCAATGCACCTGAAACCATGAACAAGAAATCTCTAATGTCGTGAATTCCCTTCTCTCACGACTGAGTAGGAACGTAAATTCACGTCATGATAGTTTGCCCTCAATATACATATGCCCAGACTATAGCCTGAAGATAAACGAACAGCATATAACAGTAAAGCAATGCATAGATATTTATTCCACTAACAACATTTTGCATACGCATACCGTGTCGTGCATCGATCAGCACGAAGACTCGTTTAAGGTTGGTCCTATTTTTGAGATAATTCGTCAGCAGCGACGCCCACTGCGGCAGGATTAATGAAGCGAGAGTTGCGATGTCAGATATATATATATATGTGTATATATATATATATATATATATACGAATATATTCTATATATGTTAATATAATA